TTTATAAGCATCCATGAATAATTTAATAAACTATAACAGATACCACAATCATACATAGAGAATATTATACATTCGTGTATTACTCTCTATATTTGCATTTACATACGCATACATAGATATGAGTGTGTGTGTGCGTTTGATTGAGAGTGTGTCTGTGCATGTAGATGGGGATTGAGATAAACGCTGAAAAATACTGAAATTCTGATTTAAAAATAATCCGAAACTTAAAGAGGAGGAAAACAATTTCTGATCTTTTACTAATAATCTTTTTTTTGTATGTTTACTCAAGAAATCTAATTTTTTTTTAAACATTTCGGAAATTTTGAAAGATTCTTTCAGAAAGGGCCACGGTTTTTTTTTTTTTTGATTTTTTTTTTTTACTCTTTTATTCTCTCACTGTTCCCGAGACAGAAATCCTGTCTGAAACTTTGTATTCTTCAGCGAGCAAAAAGGAACAAGGAAAAAATTCCCACATGCCGCAATACATCCAATCGTACATAAATAGGTCTCTGTATAAGAGGGGGTGCTGAAAAATATTTGTAACGACCCACTTCTTAAAACCTGAACAATTGACCAAACATCTTATTTTTTTTTTTTTTTGTAGGGAAAGATTTTTAGTCGGTTTAACCACATTGTGTCTCTCTCTCTTTTTCTTTCTCTCACTTGCTCGTTCTCTATCGATACACACACACACACACACACACACATATATATATATATATGTGTGTGTGTGTGTGAGAGAGAGAGAGAGAGAGAAAGAGAGAGAGAGTTCTGTTTTTATTTATTTATTAAACAGTATATTTTTATTTCCTTTCTACGGAGCTGAATATTCGAGATATCTTGTTAAATATAATTTGATATATCAAAATTTGGGGAATACAAACAGAGCACGGAACTGACAGTAGTACGGACATTTGTGCTAACGTTAATGAGCAGTATTACTTCTGCAGTCGCAGTAAACCTGCTCAATCCCGTGGCCTATATAAAAGAGGGATACGGACAGCCACCATGCAGTGTTTATTTTTTATTTCTATATCCACTCTAGTTATATCTATATATCACAATATTTCCATGATTTCTCTCTCTCTCTCTCTCTATATATATATATATATATATATATATATATATCTATATATATATATATATGATCACAAAAGCGTGAAACCCAGGGTCACAAATTCATATCTATAGGACTGAAGCTCTTCAATGTGGCTAGACGCCCGATTGCTCCAAGCTGGGATCGAAATCTGGCCAATTTGTCAGAATAGAAAGAAAAGGAAATTTTAATGTTTTCTATACGGAATACGCCAGTGGCTCGGAGAACGTTAATAGCAATAGGAGTCACTGTTTTTTAAATTACCCTTTTCTCAACATAGCTCAACCGGATTTCCGGAGACATATATATATATATATATATATATATATATATATATATATATATATAGATAGATAGATAGAGAGAGAGAGAATGTGTAGACAGTGTGGATATAGGTAGCAACAATGCATTGTGACATGATCGCATCAATGCGATATTTCTATACCTATAAATTTCATATCCCTGATATGAGCACACTTCCTGTATACATATCTGAAATTATTAACCATATATTTTAATAAATGACGATCTCTCCTAAAGCAGTCCACTCTATTTTATTTTATACATATACACATATATAGCGCTGTGTACATGAGTTCAGTTTTGCTTCCATGTCTATGGTCTTCCACCCATAGATAACCTCATAAATATATAGGACGACTATCATGCATACATAGCACCCTGCCAATGATAACTGAATTGATTTGTTAAAAGTTCTATATTTGGCTGTTTAGTCAGATTTGGTTAATAGGTAGAGTCGAGATCATTTTAGCTTTCACTCATATATAGAGGCAGCCATTTTTTATTCTCACGTAAACCAAAACTGTAACAGCCAAAAACTTTAGATACATAATTCAAATAAGCTAATTAAATTATAGCAAATTAATTTAGGTTTAAGTTAATTTAACGACATATCAACATTTGCTGAGACATTTAATCTCGAATATCAATCGCATCGGAAAAATAATAACGAATTATTAGGTAAGTAAACAAAACTTAGATCCGGTTAACACTTGAGACATACGCCATGTTTATATTAGTATCAATAATATCTGTTTATATTCGAGTCTACAAGTATCCATCCGCAAGTAGGCTTTTTCAATCATTTCCTCCCAAAATAGCAATAAAGCCGCTAAGACGCGAAGGGTTACTGAGTGTGAAAGAATATGAGAAATAAGAAAATTATTTTTAAGAAAATGGAACAATAAAAAAATATGAATTAAGAATACAGAAAATAACGATTTACAATGCATTTAAATTGTTGAAGATCAATGTTGACAAAAGTTGAAAAACAAGAAGCTGGATGTGCGAGAGAAGAAACTGTTAGGAAATAACTTCCGGTTACATCTATCCATTTCAACAGTAAAATGATTAGACCTAGCAGTGTTTCTAGTACTGTACTTAAATTTCGTAAATCCAAGTTACCAAAGACGAAAGCTCATCAGAACAATTACCATAAAAATATAGAAACGGCATAGGTAAGCTGAGTTACTATACATAGCTTGAAAGTGACTGAAGTCGAGATGCCAGATCAGAACCTATAACATTACAGACTCTTCTTTGGATTTTATCAGGAATTTCTAAATGCATAGAAGAAGCGCCATATAAGATGTGACAGCAAAATTCAGTGCTTTGACGAATGGTAGATTTATAAATGTGTAAGCTAACATTCTAACGCCAAAGATTGTCTAGTATGACACAGTGGATCAACATTTCTAACAGTAATCCTCGCATTTGGCTCAATGTAATCATTCCCCTCCTGTCAGCAGAAAACGTTGGTCCCAGAAGACGCAGAGTCACTCTCCTATAGGTAGGCTTGCTTTAGATATGTTTTACAAGGGATGCAGTCGGCGTAGAGTAAACCCCACCAGTAGGGTATTTTTCATCGCAAGTAAGTCTCCACAATCGTGAAAGAAGCAGTAGTGCATTTTCTCCAGAAATTAATAAAACACTGTGAGTTTTCAAATTTTTTAGGCTATTTTTTTAAACAAGAGTATATTTTACAAAATATTTCCAAGTTATTTTTTAGTCTTTTCGGCTGTAAATTTTGGTTTTAGCTTTTCGTTTTATTGAGATTCTCTTTTTTTTTCATTCTTAAAAATATGAAAATTCGGATGTTTAATAATTAAAAAGAACTGGTTAGAAAGCAATACAATATGCTTCCCAAATAGCTCAATATCGACTAATGGGGGGGGTATTGCTAATATACACACCTTTACTATCATTTCTCAAATATTTCCTAATATAGTTTTTCATTGTAGATCATTGAAAAAAAAACGCACTTGTCTTAGCTCGCATCAATTCTACACAAGAGTCACTGGCCAAAATCCCGTGAAAGGAAGATTGCAATACTTGTACGGAAATGATTGCCCAATTTTCCCAAATATCCATTGAGAAAATTTATATAACATCTCGTCTCGTCTACTCAGCAATCAAAAAAACGGATCTGCAAATTGTGTATGAATGTCGACGCTTACATAATTTAAGGTGAGGAGCTGGTAAGAAAAACGCGTCTACATTGAATATGTTTTGTGTGGTAGTGGAAAGATTCTTTAATATGGGGACTGTTGACTGATTAATTTGTTTCTTTACGGCTTATCAACCCTTTGTCTGTCATTTAAAATAGAAAAATATTTCAGGTTGTAGGAAGTTGCTTTCATTACTCGGTGTTCCTAAGCAGTCCTCCATCTAAGTTCTGACCGAGCTCTACTTCGCTTAACCTCACGGATTGAAGGAGAACCGGTGTTTTTAACATGATTTGACCTAAGACCTAATAGATAGAAGTTTACCAATCTAGTAATACAAAACAATAATAATCATAGATTGGAAATAATATAGTATATGACTGAAAAAAATGAAAAATCGATACAAATTGGAAAGTTTGACCAAAGAAAATGTCATTTTTATATAAATTCCTCTAACTCTCCGCCTTTTTTAGGTTTTTGTTTTATGTTTTTCTTTCCCCTAAATTTTTGTTTAGTGCCTCTTAGTGCTTTATGTAGCCGCAACAATTTTTTCCCCCAATAAAATCTAAGAATCTCCGAATGAAAATACTAAGAAAATGCTATAAATGGCATAGTATTACTTTCCATTCATAGCCCAACTGATTTGGACACCTCGACGTAGTGTAATATTTTAGCAAGATTGTCTCGCTAGAACAGGGATTCCCTAACCGTGCGGCATGCCACATAGGTGCGGCGGAGGAGGATAGCAGGTGAGGCGGAATGATTGAAAGACAAGAGTTACAAACAATTTAAAAAAATTCATATGCCAAAAATAGATATGATTTTAACATTTAAAATATTATGAATTGTAATTGCATACATGAGTCTCAGTATAAATAGTTATAAAAAATTATTGAGCAATTTTACCACTGTGACAATTTTGCATTTTATAAAGTATTAAGAATATAGTAACTAGGGTCCGAAAATTGGAGGAGAAAGTTATCAATGATTATTTTCTGACTTTGAATCCGCGGTTATCTCCCTTTAACAATGTCTCTCTTTTTTTTATTTTTATATGTACTTTTTATCAAGTAGAAATTTGGTGAGGCGCGAGCAAATATTCTTTCCGAAAATTCGGCCCAGAGAAAAAAGTTTGAGAACCACTCCGCTATAACAGTTACCACTGAGTAGTGAGTTCGATCCTCACTGAATACCTTATACTTTCGGCCTTGTGCCACATCTAAGCTATGCTGAGAAAATCACCATAGCACAGTTGATTTATTTGTGTACATAATCTGTTTCCATTAAAACATCTCAGAAAGATTCCAAATACATATTCAGGTTTCTTTGCTATTCCAAAGCCAGTTGATTCATAAACAAATTTTGATAGTTTTTTTCTCCGGTAAGTCATAATTATATTCTTTTCGCGTAACTTTCTCAAACTTCTATTTTCTGTTTCTAACGGCCATATCACGTTGAAACACCGGTTCTGGTACGATCACCGACGTTAAGCAACGTCGAGCCTGGTCAGTACTTAGATGGTTGACCACTTGGGAAGGCCAGGTTCTGTAAGTTTGGATGTGCAGTTGGTGTAATGGATAAAGGCTCGGAATTCCAGTCAGGTTCGTTATATACACTGACGCGCAAATAACTTTAGGAGAGGTAGGAACCCACTAATTTCCCCATCTATGGGTTAATTAGTATAACTTATATCAGTAAGATCATTATTATCTCCAAAATGTTATTACAATCTAAAAATATTTTCTGGCTTTAAATAACCTGCATAAGGTTTGTAAGCCGTAAAAAACAAATTAATCAATCTTTAAACCTTGTTTTGTAAGATACTAAAACTTTATTACAATTGTTTGCAATTTTCACTCTGACGATTACCTTATTTTCTCTGTCAAACATTCTATACCATTCCATTTATAAAATTATATTCTTATTCTAATTTGATTGGTACTATTCCATTGTGAATGGTACTAACCTGGCATCGCGCCTTTAATTACTTCCCACCGCCGAAAGGTAGCTTCCCTGTGTCCTTTCGATGAATATTTTTTTATGGAAACTGTTCAGATGATCTTTCCATTTTAGCGTTTCAATCTCGTGAATGTAAGCGCATGGTATTAAATTGGCAGCTAGGTTTTATCATTTTACTCTTGATATTCCGAGATTTAACTTTAAGTTCTAGCTGTTTCTTCTCCAGCATCTCTCGCCTGTGAAAAACTCTTACAGTTTCTTACTGTCCTGTGAAAACTATATTTAAAAATTTAAATGCAACGTCAATCTTCATCTTCTGTCTCTTTGAATCCGGTTCTTTTTTTTTGTCCTCTCTTCTCAATAACGTTTTCGTTTCTTCAGCTTCTTTCATTCTCAGTAACCCCTTGAGTCTTAGTGAATTTATCAACTTGCTTTGGGTAAAATAAATAAAAAAAAACTATTTTCATTTTGAAAGTAAACTCGTATAGTAGAGGATTCTTTTTCTCTCATTGGCCGATTGTTTCAAGTTATAAAGACAACAGAACATTTCTCTTGTTCTTTAATTTTTATATAATGTTTATTTAGGCCATAGATTTATGTCTTTCTTACGTCTTAGTAAAACGTAATAAGACCAGTTTGCTTCTAATAAATTATGTAATCACTTCTGGAATAATAAATTGCAGTCATTGTATACTTTTGCCTATTAATCTAGTAGCAAATTGATTCATTTTCAATAACTACAACAGCGATTTCAATCATTACACAACGTATCTTCATTAAGCAGACTGTTGAAGGCATTTTGATTTCTCTCCATCACAAACCTGCTGAAGTCTACGTTTTCAAGAAAGAATACCTTCTGAACATCTTAGGGATATTAATAATTGTATTAAGCTATTCATAAAATAATAATAAATAAAAATAATGAAAATAGCTTCAGAAATTTTTCGAAGTAAATTTAGGAAAAAGTTTTAACGTCAGATATGGACCAACATAAATTTTGTTTTATTGAATTCAATTGAAGAACATCCTCACAAAAATGATTGTAATATTCTTCTTCATTTATATGCTATATCCCTTCAGGACATAGAAGATCATGGCTCTTTATATCTTTCTCTCCTTTGTACATTTTAGAAATGCATATTCGCTTACTATCCCTCCTAGTCCCTTTTCTTACATCTATTTATATAAGCTCGTAAAGTATGTTATTCGATGTTTCTCTCGACCTTTCTTGCCTTAAATATGACGTATGAGTGTTAAATTTATTAAACCCGCTTTACTCATTATGTGTCTCATAAATCTTAATTGTCCTTCTTGTTCCAAGTATCCTTAAAACTTCCTCGTTAATTATATATTCCGTCCATGGTATCATAAGAATCGTTCTGTTGAACCATATCTCCGTTGCCTCACATCTGTTCATTCGTGAAGAGATTTTCGCATATTCACTGACATTAATACGACAATGTAGTTCAACAATTTATTATTTCCAACAAACCTTTACCGTTTCTTAATACTGCTTTTAGCTTTTGGAAGACTTCTTCTTTTATGTGTCTTGTCAATTCACGATGTCGACGATCATGGCTCTCTACTTCCTCTTATTCCTTTTAGTTCTCAATAAGTTATGTCTTTTTGCTACTTCTTCCAGATCCTGTTCTGTCATCCACTTGTTTAAGCCCTCTAAGTATATAATGCTTTCCTTCCCTTTGTCCATCTTTCCTTCTATCCACCCTGTGAGTATCAGATCTTCCAAGCCTTCCTCTCTCATGACGTGTCCCCAAAATTTCAGCTTCCTCTTCCAGATGTTAAGTATGTTTCCTCTTTGCATCCTCTACACAACCTAATCGTTGCTCAAATGTTCGGTACATGGTATCCTTAGCATCCTTCTGTAGGACCAAACCTCCATTGCCTCGGAATCGCGAAGTCGGTATTTTCAAGATTTAAAAAAAAAAGTTAGTCATCCTGGCATCTCATTGAAGTCCCCCCTCACTACCAAGTGGCTTTGTGTTTGTTTGGACTCCTCCCATCTCACTAACCCATCCGACACATCGCATTTAGGTTCTGAAATCGAGACGTATTTAGAGTGTTACACGCTTTTCACTAAATGACCCTTGATTCAAGGTTAGCAAGATTAATATGAAATTCCAATTGTAAGTAATAAGGAATCTTATTTTGGAAGGCAACTTTCAGTATTCGAATGTGCCTTCGGATTTCGGTGTTATATTTTTGTCTTCTGTTAAAACGCTTCCCATTAGTTAGATTTACCAGCTTGCTTGATTGATTGATTTTGACGTCTTTAATTCGTGGCCCGTACATTGGTCAAACTCTCTAGGTAAGGACCGTACATGATGTATTCTTACAAATGATTGTTTGCCTTTACTTCCTGGGTTACTTTTTGATCTAATCTAAGAGTTTTCTTTCAGTGTATGTCATTAACACGTATCTACGTATCTTAGGTTGTTCGCATTTTGTACATCAATAATTAATCTCGGAGTTACACACCAATGACATTTGGTTGATAAGACAATTAAATATTTTCTATTTATTTTCATAGTAGATTTGATTACTAAAGTATAATTATTTTAGTTGATAAAAAAACATGTGATAATTGATAAAAGGACGGGATAGTTGATAAAACAATATTCGATAACTGATAAAGCGTCATTTGATAATTGAGAAAATGACTGATAAAGCAAAGTGATAATTGATACAATGGGATGCGATAACTGATAAAACGACATGATAATTGATAAAAAAAATCATGCGATATTTGATCAAAAGATATGCGATAATTGATAAAACAAGGTAAAACGGCGTGTGATAATTGATAAAATGACATGTGATAATTGATAAAACGATCTATGATAATTGATAAAACGATCTGTGATAATTGATAAAATGACATGCGATGTGTGATAATGAATTTACGTAATGATAGTGAATTTACATAAAAATCATGAATTATTCAAGAAGTTAATTTTTTCATGAATAATCCAAGATTTTTATGTATACAACTATCGCACATCTTTTTATCAACAATCGCATGTCGTTTTATCAATTATCAAAAATAATTTTATAATACATTCTCAATAATAAGAATGATGAATATTCTGCAGAGCCACAGATTTTGTTTTATTTAAAGTGTAATGATTATTTGCTTTTCATTTATTTAAATAAAAATAAAATATCTATACATAAATATCTATACATAAAAATGAAATAACTCCTATACTAAATAAATATAAATAAGCATAGTTTTAAAGTCTTTTATATAAAAAAATATCTCACAGAAATTCAATTATATTCTTCACTTTTCGATGTAGACAACATTATCGCATCACTCGCTCTCTCTTTCTCACTCTCTCTGTCTTTTCCACCCTCTTTTTATTCTTCTTGAATTTTCTATTTTTTCCTCTCTCACTATAAGGTTCTGGCTTCTTTTCTGTGTCAGTCTCTATTCGTTCTTTTTCAGTTTCTCTCTAGTTTCAACTTTTTCATTCTTTCTTTCTTTCTTTCTTTCTTTCTTTCAGAGAGACAGAAGACGACGAAACTGATAAAATGATTCAACTGCTGATCATACTGAATCTTACTACCCCACCACCGTTATCAATACACATTTTATAGAATTACGATTGGAAAACGGAGACTATCTAAGTATATGTAGCCTCAGTTTGAAACTCAGTGACAACGGAAAAGTATTAACACTGCATTATAGCTACAACACTTTTACATACACAAACACACTTTTACATATACACACATACATACATACATACATACATATTATATATATATATATATATATATATATATATATATATATATATAATTTATTACATCATCGTTAAGCGAACACACTTTTTACATATACACACATACATACATATATATACATATATATATATATATATATATATATATATATATATATATATATATATATAATTTTATTAGCTTATTTTTGTCATCGTTAAGCGAACGAAAATAAATTGTTTTCCGGGTTGCATATTTTTTGTTTATTAAATATGACTGAAACATCTTTCCTCTGCTTTAATCAAAATAAAGGCTTTTATAAACCAGTTGAAATTAACTTTATTTGAAACACGTCGCTCCACTCGCCACCAAAGTATCTCTACCTATGACGTCGTTATTCATTTTTTCTTATTTAGATTTTTTTTTCGTTTTCTATCAGGTTTTTATTTCTCGCTTAATCCTAATGGATAGAAACAGGCACCAACAGAACGGCCATTTTTCCAATTATATCGGTAATATTCTATATTTCGCAAAAGTTATTCAATTATAATAATGTTGTTATCGTCTTCCGGAGTCAATATAAATCGACCACAGATCGACAACATTACGAAAGGGTTACAAGGCGAATAGGTTTGGAGATTTCTTCTTCCAATGCCTGTCTTTTTTGTCACTGTTAATGGCGTTTTATCGAGAGGTAATTACTCTGTCGGGCGGTCCTCAATCTCGGGTCATACCCTTAACCGAAGCAACATTTTCGAAAGCGAATGTAAAATGAAGCAAGACTGTGTTTATATAGAAAATATAATAAATTGGTTAGCGGATTCGATGATTCAAACAAGATTCCA